TTTAGTTCTATTACGAGTTCGAGGGCTGTCTGTGTTAGTCAAGTGAATATGCCCCCTGCCCGTAGGTTTCAGTCCCTTAACACAATTTGATGTAAATTAGGCGAACAAAAATAGTTATCTCCATATTGCTACATACACTTCCTTTAATCGCTAGGCTATCGAGGCACTGCTATTCGGTTCAATGTAATTGAAGTACAAATGTTTCTATCAAAACCAAAACCTGCACACAATACAGCCATTAGTAAGCACTTTCTCTTACAAAAGATGAGCAGATTTTCATTCTATAGATGCTATCGAATTGCAATTTCAAAAGCGACTTTCGGGATGCACAAGAACGCATTATACCTCACCCAACCCATGAACAAACCGGAAATAGTCGTCAAATTACATCTATATTGTTATTGTCAGGCCACTAAATTCATTTATGTTTTTTTTAATATTTGGTTATCTTTTATGCTAGGTTAAATAAGTTAGAAAATAATGCATTAACTTTATCCTATCCTATAACCTAACCTAAAATCAACAAAACCAAATAAGCATACTAAAAAGTAGAGATGAAGTATTAACAGCTGGATAGTAGCCTACCATACTTTTATGATGTGTTTTGTTTTACTCTGCTCATTTTAAGTTAGGTTATGGCCTACCTTCTAATATCTCCCAATCCTAATCCAAGATCTAACTCTGAATAGAAGAAAACCAAACTCAAGGCTGTCATAGTACGCCGTGACCCCACAAAACCTGACGTCATAATACGCATTTCTAATCGCGAAGATAGGGGTGTTGTGATGAAAATGTCACGCCATTTTTTGAAATAGACAGGTTTACTTTTTTTTCAAAAATACTATTACGCTACAACTGTTCAGTTACTTCAACTTAGCACTACGCACATAAACAGAAGCGTTTAAAGAAATTTCCACATTTTCGTAAAGTAACTTGAAACGTTATGGGTTCTCTTTTTGTTTGTTCACCCGATAGCTAAAGTTAGATAGCTGACAAACGTCTAATGGCGGAGCTAGAGCAGTATAGCACCCTCGAATATCGTCACAAAAATTCGGTACTCCCGTAGTATGTGTACCAGGTTAGGATTAGGCCATAATTTTATTCCAATTTTCTCTATTTTAGTTCTATTACTGGTTCGGGGACTGTCTGTATTAGCCAAGTGAATATACGCCCTGCCCATAGGTTTCAGTCCTTCTGTACAACTTGATGAAAAGTAGGCGAACAAAATTAGTTACCTCTATATTGGTACACAGACTTCTGGAGCGCCGAAAATTCTACTCTCAACCTAACTGAGAAATCCAACTGAACTTTACTAACTTATTCCATGAAGTACCTTACATTAACCGGATGTTTATTATTTCAATGGTTTGTGATCACTCATTTATATTTGACGTTTATTTACTCGTGTGCGTTATTGAGTGCACTTGAATGCTATTTAAAACGACAATTGTACCTTGTCAAGAGATAATTGGTCTGAACAGATTTACTATTGGTTACAAAAGCATGTACACGTTTGAATTGAAATCTCGATTAAAATTAAGTATTACTTTTGTTCAATAAAGGCTGATTGATGTCATTTGGAAAAAGCTTCATATTGAATTAAACATCCTAAGTGATTCAAGAGTCTTGCTGCACCCTAAGACAATTATATTTTTGTAACGTTTCCTCTGACTAAAGTCACAGACTTCGCCAGACATACATGGTTCAACTATATGGCTATATCTCCACTGCCACAAAAGCATAGAAGAAGGATAAGTAGTTAGTCTCGCCGAAATCGAATCCTTAGTACAATTGAAAATATTGCATTGCATGTAATAACCTAGAGTTCTCCTTCATACACAGCATACTTTGCTGGTCCTGAACATACACGGTAACCAATATTACGGAGTTATAACCAAAAGGAAATTTAATCATTCCTGTTGGGTACTGAAGGCTGGTATCGGGAGCAGCTCTATACAATTATATTTATTATATTTATACAAACCAAGAACATATCGTGAATTCCTCTTCATGGGATTTATCAAGCAGTTTTCCTAGTTCAAAACATACACGGTAATCAACAAAAACATAGCCCATAAATTTTTAAATAATTCTAGGAAAATGAAGAAAATTTATTTAACACTTGAACTTCTGTGCATGATTGTACCCAAAAGTTTGAGTTGTTGTAATTCTATTTTTATGCACTGTTACTGCACTTCCTTATTTTTTTTCTTTGGTTGTTAAAAAGTATTCTAGACTCGATAACGAAGCAATTCGTCCATCATATTGTTTTCATGCGTTAGCCATGTAACGGCAGTGACGAACTTGACGATTTGTAATAAAATAAGAGAAAATGAGTATACAAAAGGTGGCCGAGGTAAACTGGGAGGAAACGTATTTCTACAACAACGTTAAACCACAGTGCCTGTATCTGTTACGAAAGAATATAATTCTAAGCGACATCACAAAACCAAACACAAGGAAAGTTACCGAAAATATCACGATATTACCCGGGAAGTAATTAATAAGGCTTTATATATATATCTTCACTGAAAAAATGATTAGAACGGTAAGCACACATTCTTAAATATGTTTTAAGTAAGTAAAATCGCGACGTTTTCTCACTTTTTTTTCGACTGCGACCCGTGAGACATTCTCAAAAGTTTTTGCGGCCCGCCAACCTCGCAACCTTGGACTACCTTGTCAAATAGTAACGCGAAACGCGTTTCAAACGAAAAAAAAAAACAATTTAAAAGGCAAACCAGTCATGGATGTGATCGATGGTTACCTCAACTCAAGAACAGAAATAACCACCAATGTCAACATTTATTTTCATCCATAGTTGGCCCGTATAAGGAATGATTCCCCCTGAATCCGAACAAGTGAGATGCAATATTAATATTCTTCAATTTTCATTAATTAACATACCAGACCCAGTGGAGCAGCAACGTTGAAAATGAAATTGGTCAAGTGTAAATAATTTGGTGTGCCGCGCGAAATAACAATATTTTATATCAATTCATCAAATAAATATTTATTATTTGGCCGCGATTAGAAACATAAAATATTAAATCCGTGAAATTAATATTTAAAAAAAAAACGACGGGCGATTTAAGAGTATTTATGTGAGGCAAATCAGCTTAAATATCGCATAATTACAAACTTGCCTTGACGCTCCAGAAGTGTGACCAAGTTCAACACTTAGTTTTATCCACAGTTGGCCCGTATAAGAATATAATTCCCCCTGAATCCTAACAAGTGAGATGCCATATTAATATTCTTTAGATACATTAACATACCAGAATCCACGGAGCGAAAAATAAACGTTGAATGGATGAGTTAATTTAAATAACATCGCGTTCCGGCGCGAGATATTCCAAGTTTACAAAATATTTCTGTAATAAATTTACTATTCTTTTTCGAGCAGTATACGTTACAATAAATAATTTGCTAGTGTTATCAGCAAGTCTTACTCTGTTTTTGACTCTTGGCATGTTATGTTTCTCATTGTATGTAATCGTATGTAAAATAATAGCCGGTATTCGACAACGTCCATATCTATTGTCAGGTTAAAGGTGTTTCACAAATACCCTGATTTTAATATTAATACTTTTATTTACAGAAGTCAGTTCAATTGGTGTATATGAATGCATCAAAATTGACGATCCTTAAAATTATTTCGTCAAACGTCACGCTGCGGTTAACCGGTTTATTTTACCCGGTTCCCGGTTTAAGTGTTTTCCCTGAAATTCCCAGTCCTAGCTATTGGCTCTGACATCGTTTATTACATAACAATGTAATTGATCTATTCATTTCTCGCAATGTCTTGTCTCTTTCGGTGATCTGTAGAATGTTGTAGGGGTAATACAATAACCAGATGCTACTTTGCATTTCATTAGTTTCTCGCCTACAATGCCGTTGAGAAAACAAAATATTCCAGACCTAAAACCTAGAAATCTGAAATAACAATGGGGCAATGTAAAAGTGCGCTAATGTGATTAAAAGCTGATCGAAAAATATAACACTATCGGAGTGAATTCCCTTCAAACTTTCTGGAACCGTTAAGTGTTTTTTGCATCATCCTAAACGTTTTTGGTAACTCATATGCGTGTTTTCGTACTCTAATTTCATAAATTAAAGTACCATAATAAGACCCCGATAGAAACGCCAAATAAGTAAAGCCCAAAACCACACCGACATCAACAGAAGCTTAAAGGATTTGTTTCAGAAGTTTCTCATAGATACAAACAATAATTAAATATCTGTGACCCACTTTCTTCTGTTCCGCAATAAAAATATAATTTTTGACCCATTCATTGAAAAAGGTTCGCCCTCTCTGCCCTAGTGTCTACTCTAGAGCATTGGTAGCCTTTAATTGCTAGTGGGCACTTTCCGGAAGCTTTCAGCATGCGCGACCACCTGTTTACCACTTTATTGTTATTTTGATTGTTAGATTCCAAATCCCAGTATGTTCAAACAATTCATGAACAACAAGCACCCTGTAAAATAACCTTATCAAGCAATGAAACTAGGAAGAACGGGAATTGTTTTTGTGAAGGAAAAATGAAAGCAGTTTTTCGCCTAGCATTGTGATTCCCTCCAACTGCTTTGTGCCCCCTTGGAGAGTTAGAGCAAGAGCAAACTTGTAAACCAACATCGCCCCTAGCGGACTGTTACCGATTCAAAATCACCCCACGTATTTCTTTGCACTTTATTATTATTAATATTATTATGTGAACATTTCCAACTAATAGTAATTTATTAATCAGTCGGTTGTAAAGCCTTAAATTTGTAAACAACCAATATGTGTACTCTCGTAGAGTCGTAGTATGTGTACCAGGTTAGGGTAAGGCCATAATTTTATTCCGATTTTCCTTATTTCAGTCCTATTACGAGTTCGGGGACTGTCTGTGTTAGCCACGTAAATATACCTCCTGCCCATAGATTACCGTCTCTTCACACAACTTGATGTAAAATAGGCGAACAAAATTAGTTCCCCCCCATATTGGTACACACACTTATGAAGCGCCCACATATGCACTTGGTTATATATATTCAAATAATTGAGGCACAAAAACATGTAACTGCTCCTCGAAGAGGCAAATCCTAGTTGACAGTATTAACTGTACTTTGCCATCTCTTCTTTGATCCATCCCATGTATTTGCTGACACGACTATACGATCCATAGTTTCCTTGCTTGTCCTGGCAGCCACTAGGTCCCCATGATGTCACTCCCTGTAGAGTCCAGCGACCGTTATTCAAACAGACTAATGGTCCACCACTGTCGCCCTATTGCCAAGTAAAATATGAATCATTTGTTTGAATACTACTAGTGTCGCCCTATTATGGGGGAAAATGTGAACCGTATATGTATTTGTGCATTCGCTATATTACTACTGTCGCCCAAATTTGGAAAAAATAGGAATCATACATCATGTACAGCCGAGGTTCTCAAAGTGGGCGTCGCGACGCCCAAATGCGTCGTTTTAATTTTGCTATAACGTCATAAAAGTTTTTTTTTTATAGAATTGTACCTGTTTTGCGGTACGTAGAAAAGTCAAAATATAAATTGCACTGAAGAAAAGTACAGGCGTAAAATGATCCTAAACAGAAAAGTCTAAAAAGAAAATTTGCCAGTATTATAAAAGCTTCTTAGTCTTTTGATCGTTCAAGTCTCTAGTGAAGAAGCTCCGTGGCTCCAAGGGCCGATGACAATTGGGAAAAGAAGCAAGTACACCCATCATTTAAATACGATTTCACTGACTGATTTTGGTAAAAGATCATTTTCCGGAACTCCAATAGTATCCCAAATTTCTTTATTTCAGTTTTATTAGGAGTTCGGGGACAGTATGTGTTACCCAAGTGAATACACCCCCTGCCCATATGTTTCAATCATTTTACACAACTTGAACTTAAAGTAGGTATGAACTAAAATTAGTTCCCACCATATTGGTGCACATACTTCTGGAGCGCCCATTTTACGTTATAGTCTCAGTGGCTCTTGGCGCTTCAGTGTTCGTCTGTAACTTCACTAAGAGACCAATTTCCTTTTTTTTGGATGAGTGCGCGTGATCTTGTTTAGTGCGAATTTTCGTAAAAAAATTTAACAACTTACTTTACATGTATCCACGCCCTCTCCTTTCCACCCGGCACACATTTGAGTCTTATCCCCCATGTAGTGAGAGGATAAATAGGAATTGCAGTCTTCGTAGCTATGTACTGGCAACACTGCTTGCTTCAAATCCCCTCGGGGCTTATCATCTGATAATAAGATAAAGATTTAAATCTGAATCTATCTAACTGGGCTCTTGGCTTTCTTACCGAGCAACTTTCTTACTCTTCTATTTGGTGTTATTTTTCATTTCTACAATAATTAACATGGCCTGCTTCAAATAATTATTGATCGAATGCATTTATTCATTCGCGTTCATTTGATATCTTTTGTTTTATTGAAAGGGATTAGGATCATCGGGTGGCGAATTAGATTATTCACTTTATTGTGTATGGGCCACTTCCTGGATATCCAAATTCATTTTTATTTACGTTAAGAATTAAAGTATGGTGTCACACCTGAAAATTAGAGGAGTGTTTGAAACTTTGAAGCGTTGTTCAAGCTCTATAGGTTGGGGTGTGTGTAGAAATATCACTGGCTGTACTTACCATAAGTTCTACCCCAACCAGTCACGACGCAAAAACTACCACCGGGAACTTCATAGTCCGGTTCAGGCAGGCAGGCAACACGCACGTGTTTTGTGATAATGAACGGTGTTTCTAGCTGCACCAAGGCAATGTCATGTTTGCCTCTAGAGTAGGATCCATGTAAAATGTATCGGCGAACATTCCTCTTTTGCATCTCGACTTCTGTACCTTTGTTGAGCCCGGCTTTAACGGCGTAACGATCTGGTCTGTGGATAAAAGGAGGTTCAGTTCGGACTACCATATTAATATAAAACAAACAAAAAAGCGCTACAGAAGAGTGTGTACCAATAGAGAGGTAACTAATTTTGTTCGCCTACTTTACATCAAGCTGTGTAATGGGATGGAAGTCTATGGGCAGGGGTATACTATACTTCTTTTGGTTAACACAGGCAGTCCTCGAACTCGTAATAGAACTAAAATAAGTAAAATCTGAATAAAATTATGGCCTAACCGTAACTTGGTAGTTGGTACACCTACTACGGGAGTAACAAAAGCCGGGACAGCTTGTTAAAATCTGCACTGTCTTGGATAAATCGATATAGTAAGACTAAGTTTAGTTCAATAGCCAACCCAACACCGATGTTTGGATATGCGGTCATGACAATATCCACCCTTCGTCGAAGTCTATCAACAAAAGTTGGCCTAGCAGTGCAATTCTTCGCAAACCAATAAAAATTTCCGTAAAATAGCTTGGGAGTGCAGGGAACATGTCAAAAAGGACACATATTTTTATCATTATTTTGAGTAGACTGAGGATCGTACCCATTTGTGAGTCACTCTCTTCGGTTAATGACTAAATGATTGATATAGAGATAATTATCTCAATTGCACGAGTGATCTAGTCGGCGCACCTTGTTCCTGAATTACAGCAGCAAATATAGCGAGGGAACAACACATTCCATGAACTCACTAACTCAGGCAATCGCCAAATGATGTGTAAAATAAATAACAGGTCAATTCTGTATGTTAGTACGATAACTTACGGTAATTCGTCATCCAAGCAATGTGCAGCTGTCACAACCCAACCAGGTTTTATCAAGGTTCCTCCACAGAAATGAAAGTCAGTATACTTACGCATGCTGACAGACCATGGCCAGCTACCATGTAATGCAATATCGCCTCCCAAGATTCTGAAAATAATTGATGTTAAAATCTTAATATGAAAGTATATACCAATACAAATATGGTTTAAACTCAGTATTCTGAACATATATTCTTTCATTTAAAGAAAAATTTACTATATCAACATTCCTTTTTATTTTACTCCTGCAAATATTTATAGGAGATGGCAAAATTAGCTTTAGGAGGCGTTTCAATCAAAACAATGTCGCAATCAGATACGTGTGCAACAGGCGGCAGGCGGGCCCAACCCGACCCACCAAGTCATTTAGTGTGGCTCTTGTTAACACTCATATTTCCTCATCAAGTATAATATACCAATCCATTGGTGTATGTTTAAAATAGCGCTCACGTGGGTAAAAAACATATTGAAAAGTAAAATAAGGTTGAATGTTAGTGTAAAACCCTCTGCGACCCTCAATTGATTTTGACTAGTTCAGACCTAGGGATATCTCAGACAGACCTGAATAAACGACATATGGCGGTAGGTCTCACGCTGCTTCAGCACCAAATTATTTCCACGGCACATTTTTGTTTTTACGTCAGGTAAATGATATAGCAGGGGTGGCAAGGTTTTTGGAGCAGGGACCAAAAATGTTTCCCATCTAGACTGGCGAGGGACATGTGGGTATAACGTAGTACAAGTATGTAAGTACACTATTTATTTTAGAGTGTAACAAAAGTGGAAAACAGTACGCTTCGAGCTAAATCTGAATTTATTTGCAAAACATTTTAGTCAAAACATCAAAATTAGGTTTTAGTTTGTTTGTGGAAGAATCAGGCGGGCCCGATAGAAATACCCGACGAGCCGGATTTGGTCGTGGTTTGCCAATGTCAGATATAGACTGAAACGCAAAAACTAATTTTGCTAACAATTCCTGCTAAAAGTTCACCTTTCTTGTTGATCGATCTCCCTCTTTCTTCTTCTTGATTCGATGAGGCGGCCTCCTTCAATAGCGAATCCTTGAGTAAAATAGGTTGGTTGAATTGCCTGCTTTCCACACGACCCTATATGGTGCAAAATAGAAAATTGGAAACATTTTATTGGAGATATATTTGAATTTCATTCGTTACTATACTCTTGAAACAGTCCTGCGTGGATCGAATCGCGTGGGAAATAATTATGTGTAAGAGGATATATGGACTCTTCGCCGCCGTAAGGTTTGTTCTCCATCAAGTCCGTATATCTGAAACAAATAAGTAATTTGCGCCGTAGATAATGACCATGATTCAATTTTATAATTTGTTTGTTGCATAGACAAATAAAATAATAAAATTAGTTTTCACTGGAAAATCAAATTTCCGAATATTTTATTTATATAAATAATTATTATCGACATACCAGGTTCTAGTGTTGTAGCTGGGGTACTCTCGGCTGGTGTAGCAGTAGAACGAAGAGGCCGGCCATCGGGTCCACACTCTGGTAACTCACAAAGCTCCCATCTAGTGTTGGGATCGGTTGTATAACACCAAGGACCTTCTTCAAAACTTGCAGTAGGGTTTCGACAATAGTTGTGATCCAGACCGCTGGAAAATTAATCAAAAGCTTCTCAGATTTATTGAGTTTTATTCTACATAGTTATACAAATGATAGTGTTGAACATGGGAGTAGTCGGGAACATTCCGAAAGGATGGCTACGACCGCTCGATCATGGCAAAGTAGCCCCTGTGATTGTTAATTTAACGAATGTTATTAAATTAAGATACCTGTACGCCGTTTCTAAGTAAAAATACGAGTTTTACTGGTCAGATCATTTACAAGGCCTCGTAGTTTAATAGAAGTCCGAGTTATTATTTGAATTTTATTCTGTTGATATGAGTAGCAAAAGTATAATACATAGGTCGGCATTCAGTGTTTTATGTATTTAGTGTTAATTTCTGAATCCTATGCAGTCGATTTTTTTTAGTAAATTGTTTTGGCAACTTTCATTTTTCCCTTTCCCTTCACACAATTTGATGTAAAGTAGAAAAACAAAATTTATTGCCTCATGTTGGTACACACACTTCTGGGGCAGCAATTTTTTTTTTTAAATTGTCAACAATTAGTCCCTAAAACTTCACTCACGGCTTCTTAAAATAATATTGTAGAAGGGCCTATTATCGTCATCTCGCGGAATAGAACTGCAGCATATACGTGTTTGAAGTGTGGTGAAATTTTTCTAACGTAAAATGAGAACCCGAGGTCATCGGGCTGCATTCAAACTGCCAATAGATTTCCGGAAGTATTGTATTTGCGGTAATATATACGTCGATACGTACATACAAAATTAAAGTTTATTTGTATCCATTCATAACTCGAACAGATTATTTCCGGTTTATATGATGTTGCAATAGGTCGTACAATTTTTAAACTTTCGGTGTATCATATTCCATTGTGAATGTTCGAAAATTATTAATATTGATGCAGTGGCGATCACATGGGGTCGTTTGGACAAGGGCGCAAATTGGCAATAATTTTTTTTTTTTTTTTCAATTTTTCCATAAAATAATTTCGAGTTTGAAATAATCGAACTTTGTAATTTTATTTGAATCATAACGTACAAGTATATTTATTCAATACCAGTTATTAAAAATTGTAAGACAACGATTAATGAGCGTGTTTTCATACACGTTGCCATGGGCGCTATTTTACGCAGATACGATACTGACTGAATGTGGCGGGGAAATTCATTACGTCCATAGAAAAGATGGTGGAATACGGCTCTACTAACTCTGTAGGTGTATTATATAATATTATCTGAATAGTTCACGATAGCGAAGTGCAACAGGCAATAAGGAAAAACCGTCATTTTTTTGCATCTCCGAATGTCGATTTGCAAAATGATAATCTGCAAAATTAATTTCAAAATAGACAATATAATAACAATTCTCTGTTTTTAAGTTCCGGAGGCATTTATATTTTTTAAAGAAATTACTCCAACTGTTTAAGAGAATGCAATTCATCAAATCAGCATCAGTTATTTTAAAACACCAACTTGATTTGAGTACGGTCAGTTTAAAATCATCAATCAAAAACGTAAGGTCATTTACTAAGTTAGCAATGTTGAGCGGGTTCGGATCTCACGCCGGGATAATTATGTGCGGGAGGATTGCTGGACTCCTCGCCGCCTTAGGGTGGTTCACGTGACCGTTGGTTTACGTAATTACTGATCGCATTACGGCTTCCTCGACCATCGAGTCCATGCTTTCGAAAACAATTACGGGCTAACTAATCCCCTACCCTACGTGGACTGGTCATCGGTCAAAGGCCCGTGGTTCATCGTATAAATAAACTGTGTTATCGGCATTCCTCGTCCCCGAGAAAAATATGCAAACCCTATTCTATTTTCTTCTTCATAGTGCAATTTCAACCTCAATGCCAACAAGACTAAATGATAGAAAGATTCTCTTACCTGCACGGATAATTTTCGGGAGTATTCTTATGCTTGTGTGGAAACTGACTCGTCCATTGAGCGCATGTTTTACCTGATCTTGTAACTTGTTTTGTACCTCGATAGTTTCCTCCTGCACCAACTATACACTCGGATGTGACTCTTAGAGGAGGAATCAAAACTGACCCATCAGCGTTTGTACATCTGTAACAAGGATTTTTGTCTGCTGAAATTTGAATGATTTTGTGAGTAAAGATAGTTGTTGAGATGGACAATCTTAAGTATAAAAAGTAATGTTTTGCGCATCCACTTAGACGTGAACGAGACGCACTTCCGAGCAATTTCGAAGGCGAGTACTAAATCGATACTGGTTTCATATTGAAATATAAGGTGTCCATAAAGTCGCAAACGAAACTAGTCGATACCATATATTGTTTTGCCCCTCACAGATGTGATATATGCAGTAAAATATGTTTAAAATATTTAAAAAAAAAAAAAAATGGTTAAGATATATTGAGAACTGACTTCATAATAAAATTTTAATTGTAAATGGACTTTGTGAACACCCTGCTAATTGAATCAAGTCAATTTTAAGATCAATAAGGCTCTCATTCCGATACGAAAACCACACTGATCTCTACGTCTGTGTATGACACCCAGTTGATTTGTTGAGTAATATCTAAAAGCAGATTGATTTATACTCTAGCTCTGATATGGGCAAACTAGAGACCACGTGTCAAATCCGGCCTGTTGGTTAATTCAACCGGGCCTGACTGATGCTGCCACAACCAAACTAAAAACCAAACTATATTGTTTTAGCTAAAAGTATTTTAGGAAATTTGTTCGGATTGCGATTAAATTAAGTTTTGTCACGAGGTTTATTGTTTTTCACTTTTGCTTTTGTAACCTTGTAAATATTGTTCATAAAATGTTACTTCTACGTCACACTCACCTGGTCCACCAGTCTAGAAGGGGAAAACCCCTGCTTTAGCCTTACCTCTCTACGGCACAATTCTCCCATCTAATATTTTGATCGGTAGTGTAGCACCAAGGTTTCGTGTCTCCATCAGGATTTCGGCAAAAGTTGTCAACCAAATTTCTATCTGAAAATTGCACTATTTTCTTCAAAACATAGCAAAACTTCAGTAGATCAATGGCTCCAGAGAAGAAATGTTTTGGTTACTCATGTAGTATGTGAACCAAAATGGCGGACAACGGAACGTAGTATGTGTACCAGGTAGGGGTTAGGTCATAATTTCAGATAAAATACTACAGGAGTCACTTGGATAATCTCAAAACTTGTAATAGAACTAAAAAAGAGAAATTAGACTAAATGATGTCCTAACCCTAACCTGGTACACATACTGCGTTCCGGTGTCCGCCACGTTGGTGTACATACTACGGGAGCGTAAAATTTTGTGCTTCCCGTATTCAAAAAGAAAAACATGGGTAAAATGCCTAATTTAATAAGAACAAAGGTGTTCTCGTAAATTTGAATAAAACAGCATAATTTTAAGTAAAATACCAATCCCCGTAACCCCCCCCCCAATTATTATATGAAAATGGGACGAGATCGACACCCTGTTCAGCAAACTATCGAAGGTAACTATTTAAAAACTAAAGAAGTTATGGAAATTGAAACAAGACGAAACACTTGATAAACTATTCAAATTTGAAGTAACTATTTTAATATCCATTATTAGTTCTGCGTGCGGGGGTAATTATTTTTAAGCTAAACAGATTGCACGAATTGAGGGAGCCGAGACAATAAAACACTCGATCCATTATTTAAAATTGAGAGTATTTTAATAAACTGGAAAACTGGATCTACGTGCCTGACGGAAACGAGAATAAAAATTATTTATGGATCCTATAAGCCTTAAAAAAAATTACATGGAAGTTCAATAAATCGGCACCTTGTTCCACAATCTACCAACGGTGGCTATTTTTAAAGTAAATGAATTAAAATATATATAAATTGTAGGAAATAAGATATAATACTTGAGCTAAGTTATGATAAGCTTTTATCGACACTACTAGTTCTGCATGCATTAAAGAAACTAACAATAAAAAAATATATTTTGTGAAATAAAGTTCCCAAATTGTTGTATACCTGGCTTTTGACTTGGATGGTTATTGTGCTGATGTGGAGTTGATGAATCCCATCTCTGACATGTTTTTCCAGAAGCTGTTTCAACCAAATCGCCAACGTAATCGTATCTGTCACGATGTTAGAAAATGCAGAGTAAAAATTGAAAATATAACAGAATTTTTGGTGATTAGTGCACTTGGTATATATGGTGTCCATAAAGTCCCAAAATATTTTCAAAATGCAAAGGAAATTTACACAACGTTTAGAAAGGAATTTACTATGCAAATGAGCCGCCTTTTACCATCCGTCAAACTTGAAAAATTAATAATCTATTATGCATAGCTTAGATGCATACATAAATCTTGATATATTTTATCCTTATTATTGATAGCGTTAAAAAAATTTAAACTGATTATAAAATTAGCAAATCCTCTAACAGGTGAAACTCGAGTCATTGGATTGTTTGTCTCGACACCTTTTCATAATAAACTCAATCCACGGGATTTCATTGATATAGTAGTTAAATTTTATTCGTCATGTCGACTTTGACATCTATTTTAAACGTGTTATGATATCCAAGATCTCATGTATCATAACATTCCACTAAAACTAAAAGTAAATATAGTCACCCGTTGCAAAGATAACATTCTCTTGAAGCGGGATCCGGTATTACTGAAACAAATAAAAACGTGAGTAAATTAATTTTGCACATAAAGTGAAACGTTACCATGAAAGTATAAATTATTTTGCTGAAGTGGGGTAAGTATATTCGATGATTAGAAGTAAAAAGAAATATTTTATTTGGTTCAGTGATAATAAAAACCGATTCTAACCCTCGCGACATAAATCCACCTCATTGATGATAAAATTATAAAATTAAAAACTTTGACCACTACCTCACCCAGGGTTTAAATAATTGGGCGGAAACGCAGAACCGGAAATATTTCGACCCTTACAAAATAAAGTAGCTCCTTCTATATTGGTGGCTCTTTGTACAGAGACAAAAAGTGTCGCATGAATAATAAAAAAAGAATAAATTTATAAAATAACTGAAGATTTGAAAATTTACCTCTATGGTCACAGAAAGGAATGCCTGCCAAGTATACGACAATAGCACTTACTGTACTAAAAAGAGCCGAAAGAGTGAAAATAGCATAAATTTTGTACGGCATATAATCTGCCCTATAAACTTATACTTTAGTCAATCAATGTAAATTTGATACTTGCTTGCTGCTAGAGTAGACCCATGCTCGAAGCGGAATGCATAGAAATACAACGTTGCCTTTCAAAGATTACATGCAATAGCAAAACACCGAATTCTCAGCTACAAACCTGGGCATTTTGGAACATCGCAGTACTCCCATCTAACGTTCACATCTGTTGTATAACACCAAACCTCACTTTCACCGTCCGGATTTCTGCAATAATTCTCATGCGTCTCTGGATTCGGTGGCCTGAAAAAAGGTCCAAAATCTTTTCGATTTGCTGAAATAAACCAAATTTATATTATATTGTTATATGCATAGTTTTTCTTTTATTCACATGCGCAAAATGATCGCGCAGCTGAAACTATGAAAAACATTTTTCAATAAATCTTTTTATTTTTTTTTTATTTCCGTATACAGGGTGACTCAGAAACAGAACCCAGCTCATTAGGATAATACTTCGGAAAAAAAAAGTTGTGTAAAGCGTCTTCTATTACTGAAACGTTTAGGTACGATCCTATACAAACAGATGTTCAAGCCTTAAATAAATTTACTTCATTTTTGTAGAATAAATTTAAAAAAATATTGGGTTCTGTTTTTATGGTTACTATGTGCATTAAGGTGACCGACCGATTGACAATTATGTTGCAAACATAAAGAAATGAATCATTAACAAAAAATCGTCTATTAAATGACACAATTGAAACAACGCGTCAAAATACAGGAACAATCCTACAAAAAAAATCTGTAATATTTGTTTTTTATGAATCTTGATTTGATAAAACACTTCCAATGTTTGCATTAATCTGGTCCTCGCCCGTGCAGAGAGGCAAAAATGTATTTATAAATAAAATATTATAATCTAAATAAAGAATTGAATTGGACACGTTATATCTATTCGGCGCTATACCAGTAATTTTTCCTCTTTTGTAAAAGCGGCGAATCAGGCCTATTTTTCTGTCCCATCCCGTCCCATAGAAATTTATGCCTGTCCCATCCCCTGGGATTCTCATTGGAATATAATTCAATAAAAATTGTTAAATTTATGTTCAGCGTCCACTGCATAGGACTACATGTACAAAGAGACATGCAAAACAAAATATAGGAAATAAAAATGTGTGCTGTCTCATCACACAGGAATCCCATCCCTTTAGACAAGACTGGGATTTTTGTTTTTCTTTATTTTCATTTGAGCATACGCTGGTACATTTCACAGCAACCCGCCTATAGGGGAAAACAGTATTTATAAAAAATAAAAATAAATACAAATAATATTTTAATTTAAATAGAAAATTGAATCAATTTGACGCTTTACCAATAATTGCGCCGATGAGGTGAATTGTCCGTCCATCTCTGACATTCAATTCCACTCCGTGTTTGTGACTGTGTTCCTCTGTACTTGACACCTAGAGGATCGTCAATTTCGACACATTCATATACACCAATTGAACTGACGTCTGTAAATATTATTATTAATTTAAAATTAGTTAATTATTTTTGAACTCGGCATGTAAGGTAATTAGATGTAATCTGCATAGCAGTTTTATGAGCAATAGACTTAAATAGGCATCATATTACAACGAACTAAAATAACACTAAGAAAGAAATGTAAAAATAGGTACAAACGTGAATGTATTACCTGAAAATACCAAAGATAGTAGAACTAAAGTAACTGTTGAAGGTGTTGAAACCATTATTTCAATATGTTCTATCACTGTAAATTAGAATATGCCCGATATAACTATGCAATTCAAGAGTCCTCCTGGACGAAAACACTATTTGTGTGCAGCAGTACTCTTGAATTGCATACTATGGTATCTTTATTCCTGCTACAGTATCCTTGCATTATACGTAAATGGATTCACTAGCGCAAAGGCATTGAGGAAGGGATATTCCTGCTACAGTATCCTTGCATTATACGTAAACGGATTCACTTGCGCAAAGGCATTGAGGAAGGGATATAGTCTCGCGTAACTTCTGCTGATGGGTATATCGATATATTACGTGGTCAATCGCGGACTTGGGGTTTTGAAACTTTGGAAACTTATTTTTATTTTGCATCTGTTTTCAACATATATTCTGCCTGATGTTAATTGCATCTAGTTGAAGCTATTTTGTAAATGTAAACTGACTGATACCGAAACTGGTCCAACGCACTTTTAAATGCTAAAAGTTCAAATTTTCAAGTCAATTTGAGAGAATTTTGGACCAAAACCCTCCTTTAATATACATATATATATTTCTACCGAGCAACCATGCGTAAACCTCCCATTTTAGTCTCAGTGGGCATATGCCATGTCGTGTTGTGCATACAATATTTGTATAATCTATGCCAAAATCTCATATAAAGTATTCCTATATGCAAAACAACGCATTGCAATATCACGATCCTCTCCAAACTCTGAAACTGTTCAACTACGTTTTTTCGTCAAGCTTTTTAATACCTCAATGGCTGCGCCAACTCTATCAAACTCTATTTATTCCGTTTTTAAATTGCAGTCAGAACAACGTCTATGACTGACCAATTTGTATTTAATCATTTATTTGAAATATAAAACGAGCGCAGGCAGACTGGTACGATTCGCCTTCAACGAGCGTGGACAAGTATGGCCGTCATTGGACGACGCGCTTTGTTCCCAAGCCTGAATTTAAAATTTACAGACAGTGAATGGTAATTTCTAATATAAGCCATGCTAGGACAAGTGCAAACCATCTCTGGCTTATCCTGGGCCGTGCTATAGTTGCATCAATAGAGATGCTTGGCAAGTGTTAACCTTTTCTATGGAACGTACACATAACAGAAAAGCTTTTAAGCGACCTGATTCATTGCCAAACCAAACTGGATTTTTTTCAGTGAATTTATCAATAATATATTTTATTGATGATTATAACTGGCGTAGTTTTGTGCATCATGACTATGATAATACGCATAGGATGTTCAAATGCTTCTACCCGTTATGAGGACGCACCGTATTCCATAACAAAAGATATCATATACAACATATTAGGACTAATGCAAATGTGCTCCATTACCAAGCTTTACTGTATCTACGTCAATGAATAATCTGGTTAAGCGTGGATCTCTTCTGTGAGACATACTCCGTCACAGGTTTATACTGGATATGCATCATTAGTAAACACGCATGTCCGCGATATCTCGCTCTCTGAATGCGGTTACTAAATTTGCAACCCTACATTCAGTAAATGTTGAATAGTGACACAAAAATAAAACCCATAATTTTCCTAATTAAATCTACAAAAATTAATATTTATTACTTAAACTTCTATTTGTGTATGATTGTACTAAAAAGTACGGTAAACTAGGAAGCTTTGCACAAAGTTATGTAATTTCTATAAAATGTTTTAAATGACCTTGATTCTGTTTTTAAAGCCAATCTGTAACTTCGCATGAAATACATATTACCATCAACCCTCCCTTCTCTACTCACTAAAAATTGTTCTACATCACAGGTATATAAAGTATTTTCGCCAATAGTAGACATTCATGTCTGCGATATCTCGATCATTCAATGCAGAGTTTCGAATACGTCAATCAACTTAGCTGACCTATTTGGCACTCGAAACCGTTCGCAATGAATAGCTGTTCCAATTGCATTCACAGGACTTTTCGTTTACTTCTTGACCTATTTACTAATCAACAACTTTGCAAATACATTAGGTCAGTTGGCAAATACGGCCAAAGATGAATGAAACACAAAGAAGGTGTTTATTTAAGTCCCGTAGCTAGTCCTAATTTACCACTAATTTTTGTGCGGGGCAATGGCCTAGCGCTCGCGTTTTAAACTTTTGAGTAACTGCTTCAATTGCGCGCGGGCACCTTCCAAAAGCTTTTAGCACGATTGGCCCCTGTTTATCCCTCTAGTGCATTGGTTCTCAAACTGGGGTCCGCGGTCGCTCAGGGGTCAGCGAAGCCATTTTAGGGAGACCGCGAGACAACTTTAACCTCGCACTTTGAGTTGAAGTAAAATTTTGATGTCATGTTTTTACAGTGTTTATCCAGAGCACAACACGCTCTACCGAAGGCATTATTACGTAACCAACGTTCTTGAACGTGGCAGGTACCCTGAATCAGAGCGAATTGTTTATGAAAGGCGCGTTCATCTTAATGTAAATTTTCTCGGGGTAATTTAAAAATGCCCCCCTCCCTGCCATAAAAAATAAATTTAGATATAAAACGATTCGTGTGTGAAACTCGATTTTGCTGTTATGAGTTCTGGAGGAAAAAAAACACAGCGGCACCGTCCTATCACGATGTCGCTGAAATGGCACTAAACATGCTCATTTCATTTGAAACAACTTACGAATGTACAGTAGCTTTTCCCACGTTACTCGCTATTATAACAAAAACTTAAAACGGAATGGACGTGAGACACGATATGAGAGTTGCATTATCCAAAACAGAACCCAAGGTAGAATAACTAGTGAAAGTCAAGGAGGCGCACCCATCTCATAAAACTATTTTCATGTCATTCAATTGAGGAATTCTTTATATAGCGCGTTGCTATTTGCTTTCATTTTTTTAGTGGACCGCGAGTCACCAGAAAAATTGCAAGGGGACCGTTATGCAAAATTTTTCAAAAAATTTGAGAACTACTGCTCTAGTGTTATTTTAATTGGTAGATTTCAAATCCCATTATGTTCAAACAATTCATGCTCAACAAAGTGAAAACACCCTGTGAAAATCACCTTATTAATTAAGCAAAAATGAAACTAGGAAGAACGGGAATTATGACTGTCAAGAGAAAAGTAAAATCGGTTTTGATGCTATCATTGTGACCCCAGCCAACTGCTCTGTGTCCCCTTTAGAGGATGTTGGAGACCGCTGGTCTTAAGTAACGTTCTCGACTTCTGTTCCTCTGTTGTGCCCGGCTTTAACGGCGTAACGATCTGCACTGAGGATATAAAAGAAATTCAGTTATGCTTACCATATATATATATATATATTAAACAACATAGAAAGGCGCTCCAGAATTATGTGTACTAATATGGAGGTACCTAATTTTGTTCGCCTACTTTACATCAAGTTGTGTAAAGGAATGAAAGTCTACGGACTGGGGTATACTACTCCTCACTCGACTAACACACTCAGTCCCCAAACTCGTAATTGACCTCAAATAAGGAAAATTGGAATACCTTTATGGCTTAACCGTAACCTGGTACACATACTGCGGGGGTACCAAAAAAAGCCGAGACAGCTTGTTGAATTAGTTTAATACCCAACACAATACCAATGTTCGGATATACGTTCACAAATATTCTACTGCCTTTGCTGGGTCGAAATCGACCAACGAAAGTTCGCCTGGCGGCGCAGATTTTAACAAAACGTCCAAAATATATGATAAAAAAAAAGGGGCCCAAAACTCGTCGATATCATAACAAATAAAAATACTCATCAAAGACATACATTTACCAATAAAACAAAAAATTAAAAAGTAATTTATCTAGTGGTACCGGAGAAAAAATTCAGCAAGACTATTCATTTCAACGGAAAGTTCATACGCACTTCGGCAATTATATTAGACAAACGCTAACTTTGTACTGATCATCGCTCTTTCTATTTTAAAACTGCTAGAAATTAGTGGGGAAAAAGATAATTTACACATGTAACAGTTATTTGTGACGATTTTAAATTCCTATATTGCTCTCAAAAGAGATGCGGACATGTTTTGAGGTAATACAGGATGATTGGCATCAGTACAAATAAATATGGCAAATTGAAGGGGTATTGATCATTTTTAAATGATTTCGGGATACGATAGGATTCACATATTTATTGATGATTAGGATATATATTTTGTTGTGCAAAAATCGATTACAAAAACGGACATAGGCTTTTGGAAGTTGATGAGCAAAACACGCAACGAGCCATCTAATTAGCGACACTTCGTTGCTGAATTAGAGAGGCAAATATAGCGAAAGAACGACTCAGGGATTTGCTGATTAATGTATTGGTATTATGTAAAACAGGGGTATGCAACCTGCGGCCCGGATGCGGTCCACAAAGAAGAATTGTGCGCCCGCGGAGAAGTGCCAATTTTGAATGGTATGCGGTCCACAAAAAGAGTTTTTAATTTAGTTTAGTTGCAAAGCCTATAACTGAGTATAATTTATTATCTATCCATGAAGTTACAACTGCCTGACAGCTAGCGTGTACAACCCGGACAACGCATGGCATAAGATCAATAACCAAAAATTGTGTGGCTGCATTACTAGAAAGCCTATGTTGATCGAAAGTGCAACTCGCGGTTTCACCCATATCATTGTACATCTGACCCTCCTGTATTGAAGATTGCACACCCCAAATATATTTTCCATTGTAAGATATATTACCACCATGTATCCAGATATCTGTATATTTTTACGATAACTTACGGTAATTCGTCATCCAAGCAATGTGCAGCTGTCACAACCCAACCAGGTTTTATCAGTGTTCCTCCACAGAAATGAGAGTCAGCATACTTACGCATACTGACAGACCATGGCCAACTACCATGCAATGCAATATCGCCCCCCAAGATTCTGAAAATATTTGAAATTGAAAGCTGAAATCTGTTTGAAAAGTATTTAAGTAAGACTTGCTATATATACACCGGTATGCCGCATGTCCTGATAAAAAAATTCTGTGTAGAAATTCTAACGTTGGCATATTACAACCTTTTGTGCTTTATTTAGCGCCGGATTATGCGGTTTAGAGACCCTAAGCACCTAAGATTTTAGTGCCCTGTATACATAAGTAATAATAATATTGAAACTGCTATTTTATCTGAAATTGAA